CACACACACACACACACACACACACACACACACACCCCTCCTATCCTGATAGAACGCTGCATACACACACACACACACACACACACACTTCTATCCTGATAGAACGCTGTATATACACACACACACACACACACCACCACCACATTTTGTAACACAATATTGGGCATCTGACAGGGGAAAATCTGAAGAGTTAGCACCAGAATGCATGTTTTTATTGAAAATGCAGTTTTAAAAGTCATGTATTTTGTAAATGCAGATTTTTAAAGAATAGTCAAAGAATATCTTTTCTCCCACCATTAGTTTTTGATTAAAAATGTGTCAGCATTTAAGTAATTAATCTCCAGTTCCACAGCCATTTGATTATTATGAGGCTCTAGACAGAATTGCTGGAGGTTTCTCAGCCCATTCTAAGTAAATAATGATTGAGTCAAAATTATTTATCAAATTTAGAAATATTCCATGAGATGTTAGAAACTTGACTTTTTTTTACTCTAATGCTGCATAATGAAGGCATTGTGCCATTACTAATTGGCAATTCTTTTACTTGGAACAACTTTTTAAAAGTATCAGCTTGTTTGGGTTGTTTTTGAAGAGTGGAGAGGGAAAGAGTGGAATAGACAGCTATTGTCTCAGGGAACAAGCAAATAACTGCTTCCTCTGGGTCCAGTCCAAAGCTCACTGAAAGTAGTAGGCATTGGTCCAGTTGGTTAAGTCCTGATGAACCTATCCTGTATGGTGATGAGTGCCCTCAGCTCATGTCGAAGTCAATGGAAGTAGAGGGCCCTCAGCAAATCACAGGATCAGACCCTAACCTGAGCACTAAGCCCGCTCTGCTCTTTAATACTGATTCCCAATCTCCTGCTGTGACTCACAGGTCACAGTAGAATGAGTCAAGGTGGCTGATGTACAGGCGTTATTTGTTAATCTGGTTCTGCTTCTACAAAAGCATAACCAGATCCAATGGCCATCTAGCATCAGCTTCCAAATTCAAACCAGAAATCAGGTGCACATTTTTAACAGCGAGAACGATCAACTGTTGGAGTGATTTATAACCAAGATGGGATGTCTTACTAAAATATCTGATCAAGCGTGGTTGAGTGACAACAATTCATCATCATGTTCCTGTTATGCCTCTGGCGTTTAGGGCAGTGACAAGTTCCTCCACTCCTGTCTGTTCCTGCCAAGTCTTTCCATGGTTCCCCAGCGGTGCCCCAGGTTTTTCAGCTCGGCTTCCACCGCTGTTCACCATGTTGTTTTTGGGTGGCCTCGTTTCCCTGGCCTTCAGGTGTCCATCTTGTTGCTACTCTGGTGATGGAATCAGTTTCCATCCGAAGCACATGACTGGTGCTCAGATCCCCTTGGCTGAACTGTCAATAGATCTTGGTTTGAGATTGTTCTGGGCCAAAAGATACGAAGAGTTTTTCTGAGGCAGGTTGTATGGAATGAAGACAATTTGGACATTTCCTACTTTCTCATTCCCCAGCATTCTGCACTATAAAGTAACATTGAAAGTACGCAGCTCTGATAAATCTTGAGTTTAGTTTTGGTGTTATATTTTGATGATTTCCAGACTGTATTTAAGCTCTTGAAGGTGTTCCTGGCTTTACTGATTTTGTTCCAGATGTCCTGGCTTGTTCCACCATCCTGGCTGATGGTGCTGCCCAAGTATGTGAATGTTTCTACACTGGAGTACACCAGTACTCTATCTGTACTGGTGATGGTGAGGCAATATTAAAGATCGTGATATCTGTTTTATTGTGTTTGATTTTCAGTCCAGTTTGCTCGCTGAATGCATTGAGTCGAGTTGTTTTTTCTTTTCAATTAAGCAGAAGGATTAAGATAGCTGCTTTAATACTTGAAGGGTGATAAAACCCTAAATGGAGAGGAATTGTTTAGGATAGTTCAAGGAAGTATGGGGAAAAACTTCCGGACAGTGAGATCTTATGGACTGTGGAAGAAAATATCACAGGAGCCCCCACAGTCCCTACCGTACTGTCCAAGGGAACTGAACAAGATGACTTCATGAGCACATGGATGATTCCGTGGTATTATACTTAGCCAAAGTAAAATAAAGATTTTATTAGGCCTGCAAAGATTTTTCAGAGTTAACGTACCAGATAGGTGTGAAAGGCAGTCTGCAGCTGAGACCGAAGGTCACAAATTCTAGTGGGGCCTCTGGAGAGAGCTTCTGGAGGAAATGGGTTCAGAATGATGAGGAGATGAAAGGCCAAAGCCCTGGATTCTGAATTGAAGCCCAGGAAGCAGCATGATCCTGCACACGTTCCAAATGCCGTTACATGTCTGGGCGCTAAACCTGAGGCCGCATTCACCCCTGGTATAAGCAGATCCACCTCTGCGGAAGTCCATGGTGCTGTATCCTCAGACTTCAGTGCTGAAGGAGGGGGCTGGGATATGAACGTTTGCAGCGTCCTCATGTTGTGGCCTGGTTTCCCCACTCTTGCAGGTATGACGACTTCTTCTTTCTACCCGACCCTGAGGATTTCATTGAGACCCACTGGCCTGATGAGCCAGAATGGCAGCTTGTGCAGCCGCGTGTCTCGCTGGAAGACTTCGAACAGAGAGTTTTTAAAACGTCGGAGTTTTTCAAACTGCAGCTCTCCCTTCTCTCACCAAACCGCTCCCTTCTCAAAACAGGTAAATGCAAAGCAAGGACCTCCGTTTACAGCCACTGACTCCTGGATCCTGATGATAAGGTGATATCTTTTTGCAGATATGGGGCCCAATTCAGGAACGGGGTACAAGCATGTGCTTAACTTTAAGCACATGCATATGTCACATGGAAGCCAATGGGTCTTAAGCAAGCGCTTAAGTGCTTTCCCGAATCAGAGCCATTGTGTGGTACGCTGACTGGAGAACCAGGAGTGAAGATGCCTGAATTGTACTTAACCTGGGCATGTCACTTAAGCCCTTCTGTGCTTCAGTTTCCCCATCTCTAAAGTAGGTACAATATTACTTCCCGATCTCACAGTACAAATAAGTTCTACTTAATTATTTGTAGATAGCTGTAAGACCCCTGAAACATCATTTCAGTGTTCACAAAGCACTCTGCTATAGGCAGCAGCATAACAAAAAAGTGGGACATGAGTTTTCTTTCTTCTAACATTGCTGGTGCAGCGAGATTACAATATAAAGGATGATTGAAACATTCCTGTCCTATTTCTTGAGGGAGAAGGGTTTTTCCCCAATCAGTGGTAGTTTTATAGCTTTCTGGGTCAAATACACTATGACCTTTACCTGCCTGAGAATCCTGTGTGTAGCTAGTTAGCTTTCCCCGTGTCCATCGTCCTTGGCAGTCAGTCAGGTTTTTCTGCCATATATTTTATCAGCCGGGAAGGCTTCTAGGGAAAAGTAATCTTAGAAATTAT